CAATGGATTTTGTAGCTTAAAGTGCTAGCTATCAAACCCCGCAATCGGTTTTGCTCTGAGAGCTCTAGTTTTTTAAAAATAAATTCCCGAAAACATCCCTATTTTAAGCCCGATACACTAGGATGCCCCCTTAAAAAGGGGTACACTATTTTTTCTCTGATTGAGTGAAGTACCCCTCGGTGACAGCACGCTCCGTAACGAGTTCACACGACTCAACAAGCCCCCCCCCCCTTCCCTCTCTCTGCCCAATGCTGCGCAGCGTGGCGGCGCGGTGCGGCAAAGCCCCCCCATTAACCGCCGAACGGCCGGACAGGAGGCGGCCCCCGGGCCCACCACGGGATCCCCGCGCTTCCCTACCGTACCCCCCACCCCCTCCCTCCCTCTCAACGAAACACCGCGGGCGAGCACCTCCCAGGTCATCGACAGTCAGGCCCCGGCAGGGGCCCCGTTACCCCGCACGCCGCGCCCCCCGCGGGGCCGCGGAGACCATCGTGGCGGCGCGTGGCGGGCGGCAGGCGGCAGGTCATGTCCAGCTGTAGCACCTCCTCCTCCTGTAGCAGCAGCAGCAGCAGCAGCAGCAGCAGCAGCACTAGCCGCACTAGCAGAAGCTGAACCCGCAGCAGCAGCACCAGCAGCAGCACCTCTTGCAGCAGTAGCACCAGGACACACAATGCCCCTTACCCCGCCTCAATTGGTCGTATACATGCGGATCATAGCCGACTAATTGACCGTGGCTGTACATAATAATGCTTTCTCCAGCGCGGCTAGGAGGGGAGACTGCTCCCGGCCGGCGGTAGCGGCGCACTCATTGTTTAGCTAATCCGACACGTTCCGAGTCTGACACTGCACTGGTAATAACAAACGTTTATGTTTCAACTGATACATTTATTAAAACGGTCAAACTTTATAAACATGAGGTAACATTTTAATTCGGATGATACATCAGTTCATTGACTTCAAACAGATTGAACCACAATATTATTTTTAGTTTCTACACGTACAAGCATTTCCAGTCAGAAACGTCGTATTGATCCTTGGTGTCGAATCGACATCGACTCGTTGAAAAATGTATCGTTTCGACGTATTTTTGGCCCTCTGGTTCGACCAACGACGACGTAAAGACGGCGTTCCGACATGTCATTTCTGCCTAGGTGCGGATCAATTTAAAATTCATACGTCTTTTGACCACTGTAAAATTAAATGTTTGCTTTTAATATGCTATTGGGTGAACGTGAACAATATCGAATTTAGACTGCCCACTGTCCGCAAGGAAAAAAAACTAAATACTTTCCAGATTTATGCGTTAGGCTGGAAAAGAGAGGCATAACTTGTACTTAATTTCGAAAACATGCTCTTAATTTTCATTAAATATTTATTCTTTAATTCCATAAAACATTTGTTCTAACTTGAAGAGCAAAATCTGTTTTATAACTTGCTTCACGATGCGAAACTATCAAGTTGCACACATGTGTGCACATGCATGCAGGAACCTTAAAAGGCAAAAGGCTTTTGTCCAGTGTGGCCACGGCGAAATGTTTGCGAAGAAGTCCATTTTGCGACATTTTCTTGCTACACACAGTGCACTCATGAGGGATTTTCTCCTGAGGTGTTACGAGATGACGGTAGAGTTCATCAGCTCTCGCAAATTTCTTGTTGCACACAGTCCACTAAAAAGCCTCATTCTCCTGTGTGGGTTCGGAGATGTCTGCGGGGGCTTCCGCTCCGCGCAAATTTCTTGTTGCACACTGAACACGGGAACGGCTACTCCCCAGTGTGCGTTCGGAGGTGTGCGCAGAGATGTCCAGTTTCCGCAAAGTTCCTGTTGCACACCGTACAGCCAACGGGCTTTTCCCCTGTGTGGGTTCGGAGATGTGTGCGGAGCTCTCTACTTCCCGCAAAGTTCTTGTTGCACACCGTACAGGCAAACGGCTTTTCTCCTGTGTGGGTTCGGAGATGTACGTGGAGTCCTGAACTTTGAGAAAAAAAATTGTTGCACACAGTACACTCAAATGGCTTTTCACCTGTGTGAGTTCGCAAATGTGTACGGAGACTAACTCTTTCCGTGAATTTCTTGTTGCACACCGTACAGGCAAACGGCTTTTTCTCCTGTGTGAAAGCAGAGATGTGTGCGGAGATGGTGACCTTGTGTAAATTTCTTATTGCACACAGTACACTCAAAAGGCTTTTCTCCTGTGTGTGTTAGGAGATGTGTGCTTAAATATCTACTTTGCGTAAATTTCTTATTGCACACAGTACACTCATAGGGTTTTTCTCCTGTGTGATATCGGAGATGTGTGTGGAGTCCTCCAATTTGCAAAAATTTCTTGCTGCACACAGTGCACTTAAAAGGCTTTTCTCCTGTGTGGGTTCGGAGATGTGTGCGGAGACTGCTATTTGTCGAAAATTTCTTGCTACACATTGAACACGCGAACGGCTTCTCGCCAGTGTGCGTGCGCAAATGTGTGCGGAGTTCATCACTTCTCGTGAATTTCTTGTTGCACACCGTACAGACAAACGTCTTCTCTCCTGTGTGTGTTAGGAGATGAGTACGGAGATGTCCACTTTGCGTAAATTTCTTGTTGCACAGAGTACACTCAAAAGGCTTTTCTCCTGTGTGGGTTCGGAGATGTGTGCGGAGACTGCAATTTGTCGAAAATTTCTTGCTACACATTGAACACACGAACGGCTTCTCCCCAGTGTGCGTGCGCAAATGTGTGCGGAGTTCATCACTTCTCGTGAATTTCTTGCTGCACACCGTACAGACAAACGTCTTCTCTCCTGTGTGTGTTAGGAGATGAGTGCGGAGATGTCCACTTTGCGTAAATTTCTTGTTGCACACCGTACAGACAAACGTCTTTTCTCCTGTGTGTGTTACGAGATGAGTGCGGAGATGTCCACTTTGCGTAAATTTCTTGTTGCACA